GATAAATGCACCACATATATTGCCATCTTTTGACTATACTAATAATGTTGACCTCTGTTGACTACACTACCAATATTGCCATCTGTTGACTACACTAACACTATTGCAATCTTTTGACTAAACTAACAATAATGTTGACCTCTGTTGACTACACTACAAATATTGCCATCTTTTGACTACTCTAACAATATTGTCCTCTGTTGACTACACTCACAATGTTGCCCTCTGTTGACTACACTAACAATAATGCCCTCTTTTGACTACTCTAACAATATTGCCCTCTGTTGACTACACTGACAATAATGCCCTCTATTGACTACACTAACAATGTTGTCCTCTGTTGACTACACTTACAATGTTGCCCTTTGTTGACTACACTTACAATGTTGTCCTCTGTTGACTACACTAACAATGTTGTCCTCTGTTGACTAAACTTACAATATTGTCCTCTGTTGACTACAATAACAACATTGCCCAATGCTGACTACACTTACAATATTGTCCTCTTTGGACTACACTTACAATAATGCCCTCTGTTGACTACACAAACAATGTTGTCCTCTGTTGACTACAATAACAACATTGCGCAATGCTGACTACACTTACAATATTGTCCTCTTTGGACTACACCTACAATAATTCCCTCTGTTGACTACACAAACAATATTGCCCCCTCTCGACTATAATAAAAATGTTGTCCTCTGATGACTACAATAACAATGTTGTCCTTTGTTTACTACACTAACAATGTTGCCCTTTGTTGACTACTCTTACAATGTTGTCCTCTGTTGCCTACACTAACAATGTTGCCCTCTATTGCCTACACTAACAATATTGCCCTCTATGAACTACACTTACAATAATGCCATCTGTTGACTACGATAACAACATTGCCCTCTGTTGACTACCATAACAATGTTGCCCTATATTAACTACACTAACAACACTGCCCTTTATGCACTACACTTACAATAATGCCCTCTGTTGACTATACTAACAATGTTGTCCTCTGTTAACTACACTTACAATGTTGCCCTCTGTTGACTACACTTACAGTGTTGTCCTCTGTTGACTTCACTTACAATGTTGTCCTCTATGGATTACACTTACAATGTTGTCCTCTGTTGACTACACTTACAATGTTGCCCTCTGTTGACTTCACTTACAATGTTGTCCTCTATGGACTACACTTACAGTGTTGCCTTCTGTTGACTACACTCACAATGTTGCCCTCTGTTGACTTCACTTACAATGTTGTCCTCTATGGACTACACTTACAGTGTTGCCCTTTGTTGACTTCATTGACAATAATGCCCTCTGTTGACTATACTAACAATAATGCCCTCTGTTGACTATACTTACAATGTTGTCCTCTGTTGACTACACTTACAATGTTGCCCTCTGTTGACTACACTAACAATAATGCCCTCTGTTGACTTCACTAACAATGTTGTCCTCTGTTGACTTCACTAACAATAATTCCCTCTGTAAACTACACTTACAATGTTGTCCTCTGTTGACTTCACTAACAATGTTGTCCTCTGTTGACTATACTAACAATAATGCCCTCTGTTGTCTATACTAACAATAATGCCCTCTGTTGACTACACTTACAATGTTGCCCTCTGTTGACTACACTTACAATGTTGTCCTCTGTTGACTACACTGACAATGTTGCCCTCTGTTGACTTCACTTACAGTGGTGTCCTCTATGGACTACACTAACAATGTTGTCCTCTGTTGACTACACTTACAATGTTGCCATCTGTTGACTACACTAACAATGTTGTCCTCTGTTGACTACAATAACAATGTTGTCCTCTGTTGACAACACTTACAATAATGCCATCTGTTGACTGCACTAACAATATTGTCCTCTGTTGACTACACTTACAATATTGTCCTCTTTGGACTACACTTACAATAATGCCATTTGTTGACTACATTTACAATGTTGCCCTCTGTTGACTACACTTACAATGTTGCCATCTGTTGACTACACTAACAATGTTGTCCTCTGTTGACTACAATAACAATGTTGTCCTCTGTTGACAACACTTACAATAATGCCATCTGTTGACTGCACTAACAATATTGTCCTCTGTTGACTACACTTACAATATTGTCCTCTTTGGACTACACTTACAATAATGCCATTTGTTGACTACATTTACAATGTTGCCCTCTGTTGACTACACTTACAATGTTGCCATCTGTTGACTACACTAACAATGTTGTCCTCTGTTGACTATAATAACAATGTTGTCCTCTGTTGACAACACTTACAATAATGCCCTCTGTTGACTACACTTACAATATTGTCCTCTTTGGACTACACTTACAATAATGCCATCTGTTGACTACGATAACAACAATGTCCTCTGTTGACTACAATAACAATATTGCTTTGTTGACTACACTAACAATTTTGTTCTCTGTTGACTACGATAACAACATTGCCCTCTGTTGACCACACTTACAATGTTATTCTCTGTTGACTACGATAACAACATTGCCCTCTGTTGACTACACTAACAATAACGCCCTCTGTTGACTGCACTAACAATAACGCCCTCTGTTGACTACACTTACAATAATGCCATCTGTTGACTACACTAACAATGTTGTTCTCTGTTGACTACAATAACAATATTGCCCTCTGTTGACCACACTTACAATGTTGTTCTCTGTTGACTACGATAACAATATTGCCCTCTGTTGACCACACTTACAATGTTGTTCTCTGTTGACTACAATAACAATATTGCCCTCTGTTGACTACAATAACAAAACTGCCATCTGTTGACTACACTTACAATGTTGCCCTCTGTTGACTACACTAACAATGTTGTTCTCTGTTGACTACAATAATAATATTGCCCTCTGTTGACCACACTTACATTGTTGTTCTCTGTTGACTACGATAACAACATTGCCCTCTGTTGACTACAATAACAACAATGCCCTCTGTTGACTACACTTACAATATTGCCCTCTGTTGACTACACTTACAATGTTGTCCTCTATGGATTAAACTAACAGTGTTGCCCTTTGTTGACTACACTAACAATATTGCCCTCTGTTGACCACACTTACATTGTTGTTCTCTGTTGACTACGATAACAACATTGCCCTCTGTTGACTACAATAACAACAATGCCCTCTGTTGACTACACTTACAATATTGCCCTCTGTTGACTACACTTACAATGTTGTCCTCTATGGATTAAACTAACAGTGTTGCCCTTTGTTGACTACACTAACAATATTGCCCTCTGTTGACCACACTTACATTGTTGTTCTCTGTTGACTACGATAACAAAATTGCCCTCTGTTGACTACAATAACAACAATGCCCTCTGTTGACTACATTTACAATGTTGCCCTCTGTTGACTACACTTACAATATTGTCCTCTTTGGACTACACTTACAATAATGCCATCTGTTGACTACGATAACAACAATGTCCTCTGTTGACTACAATAACAATATTGCTTTGTTGACTACACTAACAATGTTGTTCTCTGTTGACTACACTAACAATAATGCCCTCTGTTGACTACACTTACAATAACGCCCTCTGTTGACTACACTTACAATAATGCCCTCTGTTGACTACACTAACAATATTGCCCTCTGTTGACCACACTTACAATGTTATTCTCTGTTGACTACGATAACAATATTGCCCTCTGTTGACTACAATAACAACAATGCCCTCTGTTGACTACACTAACAATAACGCCCTCTGTTGACTACACTTACAATATTGCCCTCTGTTGACCACACTTACAATGTTGTTCTCTGTTGACTACACTAACAATAACGCCCTTTGCTGACTACACTAACAATATTGCCCTCTGTTGACCACACTTACAATGTTTTTCTCTGTTGACTACACTAACAATAACGCCCTCTGTTGACTACACTTACAATAATGCCCTCTGTTGACTACACTAACCATGTTGTCCTCTATGGATTACACTAACAGTGTTGCCCTTTGTTGACTACACTAACAATACTGCCCTCTGTTGACTACATTTACAATGTTGCCCTCTGTTGACTTCACTTACAATATTGTCCTCTTTGGACTATACTTACAATAATGCCATCTGTTGACTACAATAACAATATTGCCCTCTGTTGACTACACTAACAATGTTGTTCTCTGTTGACTACACTTACAATAATGCCATCTTTTGACTACGATAACAAAATTGCCCTCTGTTGACGACACTTCCAATGTTGCCCTCTGGTGACTACACTTATAATATTGTCCTCTTCGGACTACACTTACAATTTTGCCCTCTGTTGACAACACTTATAATATTGTCCTCTTCGGACTACACTTACAATTTTGCCCTCTGTTGACCACACTTGCAATGTTGCCCTCTGTTTACTACACTTACAATGTAGCCCTCTGTTGACTACAATGACAATATTGCCCTCTGTTGACTACAATAACAATACTGCCCTCTGTTGACTACACTTACAATGTTGCCCTCTGTTGACTACACTTATAATATTGTCCTCTTCGGACTACACTTACAATAATGCCATCTGTTGACTACGATAACAACAATGTCCTCTGTTGACTACGATAACAAAATTGCCCTCTGTTGACTACACTAACAATGTTGTTCTCTGTTGACTACAATAACAATATTGCCCTCTGTTGACGACACTTACAATGTTGTTCTCTGTTGACTACGATAACAATATTGCCCTCTGTTGACTACACTAACAATGTTGTTCTCTGTTGACAACAATAACAATATTGCCCTTTGTTGACCACACTTACAATGTTGTTCTCTGTTGACTACGATAACAATATTGCCCTCTGTTGACCACACTTACAATGTTGTTCTCTGTTGACTACGATAACAACATTGACCTCTGTTGACTACACTTACAATAACGCCCTCTGTTGACTACACTAACCTTACAATATTTTCTCTGCTGTCATTAGTCTGACATTGTTGTCTGGTCTATCGTGCAGATTCCGCCCGGGCCGAGTTAGCTTCACTTGGCGACAACAAGAATGAGTGTTACAACTTTGTGTCCGAGTATGATGAGGAATCGTCCAGCCTTCCAGAGAACGGCAAGTCTATCGCACGTACGTACACGTCATCCCCAGCTGTGCTTACATCGTAATAACGTATTGTCTTTGCTCTTTGTACCTCTATATAAACCAAACCACTTATAATGTTTGACATTGCCAGGTACATATTTTGAATCGCTCAAATTCAGCAGCACATTCTAAACAGACGATACCATTAAAACTTAAACGTAACACGATTATGATTAAAACTTGGAGATTTATGTTGTATTATTGTGGTTATAACTTAGAGATTTGTGTTGTATTATTACTAATTTTAACTCATTTAACCCATTCCGGAACAGGATTGCAGAACTCTGCGGCATCTTGCTTCATCGTGAGCATAATAGATCTGGTGGCGGCCGCGGGGGTGGGGGTGATCGCCCTCACTCAGAAACAGGTGGCCGCCTGTATGGTGACGGGTGTGCTGTACTGCATGGCAGGTGAGTGTTACTACATCTATGTCACAGTCATTTCCATTATAAGCCAGACACGATACCTAATGATTGCAATTATGGCCGTGTTGGCTTCTTTTTTCACATGTTTTATTTATTTGGTATTATAGCACGTCATTTACCTCTAACATTTGTATTCTTTATATATAATAAATCTTCTGTACATTTTACATTAGTCGACTGTATATTCAGACTCCCCGTGACTATTTACACCAGTCTTTTATTTTCCGTTTTGTAACACGGGCACTTAACATTGGTGTATCTGTTACATTAACCTGTTGGTAACGTTTGTTTCAGGGATTGCTATTTATTGTTTGCTTCAGGTCTGTTCACGGTATTCGGTCTGGCCATCTTCCACACCAAGCACTACTACGAGACGTATATGTGTCACGCTCTGGAAACTCTCCCCTCCTTCGCCTGCACCGCCAGGGTCGTACAGATTAACTGGGCTTCACCCCTGGCCTGGGTGGGCGTCGTCATCTGTGTCATAGCAACAGTACTGTGGCTTTTTCTCACTAGGGCCATCCGCGTCATCAAAGCTAAGACTATGCTGTAGATTGGCGAGGGTAACGAAACGATCTATTCTGTGATATATTGCTGTCTCAAAAATGTTATTTATGTCGTGTAGACTTCAGATTAAGAATATTTCGGGATATTTTTGCAGCAAAAGCCACTGCGATGAAGACCTGATTGCTGTACATATCAATAGTGATAACGAAGTTTGCGTGTATTGTGATAAATACGTGTAGAATGCATTTTATTGTGTGAAATGTGTAATCACGTGACATGATAAATTAGCATGTTAAGTAGCATAACGACATTTAATAGTTGTGAACTAACCATTACAAATTAACCATTGGGATGGCTGTTGTTGACATGTCCAACTGTCGGTTGACGAAAGGTTGGGCGACATTTCGGTGGCCCTTGTCCATCCTGGCCCTTTGTCCATTCTGGCGACATCCAACTGCTGAAGACGTCAGGTCGCCATAGCCTTTACAGAGACTGATACTGACGTCCTAAAGGGTGATATGGTATGGGTCAGTTTCCTCATGCCGACTGCCTGCCTGGTAATCACGTGACCCATATTGTCATGTCCATGATAAATAAACTTGTATGTACTGTTATAGATATACATGTATGTACGAGCTGGTTATCTTTCGATTTTCGAAGAAATCCTGTTGTAAAGGAATTGATCCTAAAAGAGATTTCGATATTCCATTTTGGAAAATATTGTTGATTTTTTTTCCCGGATTGTAGGCCTTTTTATCACAGAAGTTCGTGTTTGACTAATCAATGCACCATTTTACCGTTTTCAAGGCGTGTTAGCCTAGTGCAAGACAAAATGTTTCAAACTAATTCTTGCTGTTAAAAATAATTGCAAATATGATCATTCAGTTTTGGTGTACTAAGACATAGTATGTAAGTAAACCTTATCCTATAGAAATACATATATAAGTAAAAATTATCCTATAGAAATACATATATAAGTAAACCTTATCCTATAGAAATACATATAGAAATACATATATAAGTAAACCTTATCCTATAGAAATACATATATAAGTAAACCTTCTGAAGTAAAATATTTGTTGGTAAACCGATTACATATGTTGTAAGATAAGAAAGTCAATCGATTCCTGCTCCTGTATTTTAAAGACATGTGTAAGTTTTATGCTTCCTTCTCATCTGTATCTGTATCTGTACGTTGTAGTACCCGGTTCCGGTTTTTATACAACGGGAGAGAGTGAGCAGTTCAATTTGATTTTTGGTGCGTTATAGCACTCTTAAAGGCCTCCAAAAATGATTCCACCACATTATTCGATATATAGTCCGAGAAGTTTCTGGCCTTGATGTTCCTTTTTGGTCTGTTTTTTGTTAGATGTTCAGCTGGAGGTATAGCTGGTATCAACCCCTCAACCACCTTGTACATAAATGTGACCCTCTGCTGTGCTCGCCTGACCTGGAGTGTTGGTAGTTCGAGTTTCTCCATTGTGATACATCCATCTTCCCTGGATCTGTAGTCATTTGAGATGAATCTGGCTGCCAAGCGCTGTATTCGTTCCAGTTTGTCAGTTTCTTTTTTGGCATAAGGGTCCCAAATAATGGCGCCGTATTCAAGGATGGAGCGCACTAGGGATATATATGCTGTTTTCTTGCAAGACGATGGGCAATGTTTTAGGTTCCTTTTGAGAAAGCCAAGGGTCGAACTGGCTCTCCTTGCTATTTTTAGTATGTGGGTGTTTCACTTGAGGTCATCTGAAATTGTTAGTCCGAGATCGGGATTATTTTTCACTTGTTCCCAGACATGTCCATTTAGGGTGTAGAATCTGTGACTTTTTTCTTTGATGTTCATAACATAGTATTTTTTGGGGTTGAATTTCATTCCCCATTGATTAGCCCATTTTTCCAGGTTGTTTAGGTCGTCCTGTAGTATTGGTGGTCACTGTACTGGTTGATTTGTCTGTATATCAAACAGTCATCGGCGAACAGACGTATGCTAGAGGCTACACTTTCTGGTAGGTCATTTATATGGCACAGGAATAATAGTGGCCCGAGCACTGTTCCTTGTGGTACCCCGGAGTCAACGGTTACTTCTCTGGATGTTTCTCCCTCTAGTGCTACTCTCATCTGTCTTTGTAACAGGAAATTGGAGAGCCAGTTGTGGAGGTTTCCTCTGATGCCGTAGTTATCCAATTTATGGAGTAAATTTTGGTGGGGGACTGTGTCGAAATCCTTAGAGAAATCAAGAATTGCTAGATCGACCTGCTTGTTGCTATTGAATAATTTTAGGAGATCGTCCATAGTAACTGCTAGTTGGGTTTCACAAGAAAATCCGGAACGAAATCCATGGTTTAAAGATGTTAATATATTATATTTTTCAAGGTGGTTTAACAGGTGTTTGCAGATAATGTCCTCCCAAAGTTTACAGGCTACTGATGTTAATGATACTGGCCTGTAGTTTTCTGCTGCATGTCGGTGTCCTTTTTTGAATATACAGGAAATATTTGGACTGAGCCAATCTGATGGTAGCGATCCTGAAATTAATGAACATTGGAATATTGCAGTTAATCCTGGTGCGATTTGTTGGGCACACTCTTTTAGGATTCTGTTTGGGATGTCATCTGTTCCTGATGCTTAGGCTGGGTTGGCTTTCCGAAGTAGTTTTGTTACCCCCTCTATACCAATGGTGATATCTCCAATTTTTGATTTTACATTTTTGGTTGTTGGAGGCTTTGTCTTCGACAGTGAACACGGATTTAAATTGGTTCACAAGTCGCATGTCAAGGTCTCTTTGTTTTAAAGTGGGGAGACTCCCATGTTGTCTTGACGTTAAGACTTTATATATTTCCAGAATGGTTTGTTGTTTTTGTTCTCCAGCCCTTCTGTGATGGTTTGATTTATATAATTCCATTCTGCTTTCCTTATTTGGCGTCTGCATTCTTTTTGTATGTACCTGTAGTTTTCCCCACTTCCCAGTTTTCTTAGCCTTGGTGTATAGGCGCTGTTTCCTTTTAACGATCTTCTTTATTGTGTTGTTAATCCATGGATTACTGTTTCTACCGCTCATTTGCTTAGATGGGATGAATTTATCAATGTTTCTGGTGAGTTCATTTTTGAATATATCCCAGAGTTCTTGTATGTGGGTACCTTCATTGAATAGGTCTTGGATTCTGTGCGACAGTTTTTCCAGTTATTTTTGCAGGTTGGTCCAGTCAGCTTTCCCATATATGTATCTTTTTCGTGGTTTTTGATGTTGGTAGTGAGGTTTTGTGTCCAAGTCAGTGACAATCATGGCATGGTCAGATAATCCTGGGGCATTTGTTGATGTTTTGATCAGCGTTGGGTTTGTGGAAAAAACAAGGTCTAAAAGGTTGTTTTCTCGGGTTGGCTCATCATGTATTTGGGTTTAGTGTGCCGCTGTAGTTATTTCGATAATATATGACTGTATCTCTTTATCCACACCAGTTTGTTTAACAGTTCCGCAGTCCCAATCTATGTCTGGGCAGTTGAAATCTCCAGTCAGCATCACATTGTTGTTTTTTGACTGCGAAATTAGATGTTGTGATTTTTCTAGTTCTTTTACATTATGGGTGTTTCTGTGCGGCATGTAGTATGATCAAATTAACAAGTCCTTGTTCTTTTTTAACTTGATTTTGGCCCATACTATTTCACAATCAGTAACGTATTCTGTTTTTTCTTCAGACACTAGGTTTTTGTGGACTAGTATGAATACACCGCCTCCTGTTGTGCTCCTGTCATTTCTGTAGGCCATGTAATCATCTGGAACAATTCCGCTGGCTGTTATTGCGTCAGTTGTAGGGTTCCTTCCAGGTTTCACTCCCCTGAGCCAAGATTCAGTTCCGCATATGATGTCTGGCTTGATGTATTCCACTGCAGCAGATTTTGGGCTGCTTGTCTTGTCCAGAGGGGGTTGAAGTCGGTACTTGATTCTGAACACTGTGTGATATTCTCTTCTGTCAATGGATGGTAGAAGTTTGATGTGTCCATTTCAAAGTTGTGGAATGTGAAGGAGCTTACGTTGATGTTGTCACACTTGCAGCATAACCATTGAACATTTGATCTCTCCAAAAGGTTGAAGTCCTCTGTACACATTTCAATACATGATTTATGATGCCATAGATTACAGTCATCACAGCATACACCTTTACATGACCATGTAACGGGGTCTTGACAAAATCCGCACGGGAAGATACTAGCTTGTCTGGGTCCAAGGTTTTGTTCTATGTCTGCTGATAGAAGCAATATCAGCATGATTAGCGCCCGTTTTTTTTTATATACTTTGTTACAGGGAGATATAGTGGTCGTCTTCCTGCTGATGACATTTTGTTGTTTAGTGCTACAGGGTTTAGTTGTTGTTGTGACGTGAACATGATTTGTTGTTTGTTACAGAGTCACTTAACACGGTTAGTAAAACTATGAGTATTGCCAGAGTAAACATGTTGTTAGATGTAGTGTAGCGTGGATATGCCCACACTGACTACCAGATCATGTGTTAGTATGTCATATACCTGTGTAGCTTGGATAGTCCCATGCTGACAAGTTAGGCCTCCCAACAGACCTTTTTGATCTGTTCTGTAATATTCTTTAGCCACACTTTTGCGAGGGTGTTCTCGGGGTGGATTCCGTCCTTATATAGATTGAAATTATAGTAGTGCCTTGTTTTGGTGGTGTTTTTATTCCCCGGCTTGTATTTTGAGTTTCCACTGAGATCAGTGGAAAAGATGGGCGAATGTCTGTTCGGCTTGCTGTTCACACCTCTGATGTGTTTGTTTAGGGCGTGTATCTGATCTTGGAGTTTGTCATCCTGATCTTTGAATGAGGATGGGTCACTATGCCCTTTGTAGGTGTTCCATTTCACTATGGAGTAGTTTGGTATCTCTAGTATTGTGGTCTTCAGGTTCTCATGCCTTTCCGGTAGGGTTCTAATCTCTGTGATGGTGTTGATGATTTTGTTCACCGTTTCGTCCAAGTCTGTGGTCAGCGAGATATAATCTTTATTGACTGACGTCAGGTTACACGTTCCCAGCCACACGTAAAGGGACACTTTTCCATGTCGGGTGAGCTTAGCAGGCAGGTTTTCGATGAGCCATCGGTGGCCGTGTTCAAATTTCCTACCTCCCTTGGCACACCAGTTGATTTCTAATTCCTGTTCGTTCGAACAATGGTTCGCGAGATGGTTACCTTTACTGTCCGAAAGTATGACAGGTTTAAATTTCCTATGGCCTCTTGGTGGCGATGTGGCCCTGTTAAGGTACTTCCTTAGTCTGTTTTCTGACATGGAGTTTTCGCGGTAAAATGCCAAGATGGCGGCTATACCTACATGATGAAAGGTGGTATGTTGGGGTTGTTTTCCAGCGTGCACCGTTGTGGTATCACATATTTGGGTTTATTTTTACCAAATCGAAAAAATATTACCTTCCTGTTACATTTTAAAATGTATTTCCGCTTTGAGGTTAATAGAATTGAAGATATTGAAGATATTCTTTCCGAGTCGTCGCTCCCAGGTGAAAACACGTCTTGTTCCTCGCACATGCGCTCTCTCTCCCCAACTCTCTCTTATGTAATAAGACATTGATTTTAATTGAAGTAAGTTGGCGAGGGAAAGCCTTGCTTCACTTTCTCGGGCCTGTAAATGCCAGGGCCATAGCATGTATGATGGATACTTTATATTGTTCTATTTTTATGAAAACGTCAACTAGTTGTTTATAAATCCATATTCTTGTATTGCAGTTTAAGTGTAATGTGTTGGACTTATCACACCTAAACAAGCCACTTTGATACCCGTACTCCTACTTAATTTGTACCTTTCGTCGGTATGTGTCATTAGTAGACAAAACTTACAAAAACGTTGATGTTTGTTGTTAACTGAAGGAAACTGGCTAAATTCTTACCTTGAATCGACTGTACATAGCCATTGTTTATTTTTGAGAAGCTGCATCGATTGGACACAGATAAGAA